CTAAACCCCTAAAACCCTAAAATCCTAAAACCCTAAACCGTGGCTCCAGCCTCCCATTTAGGTTTGACTTCGGCGCATCAACCCTTAGCCCTATAGGGTTTAGGGTTTAGGGGTTTAGGGTTTGGGGGTTTAGGGGTTTAGGGTTTAGGGGTTTAGGAGTTTAGTGTAGGCTCACTGCAAACTCAAACCTGAACCGAAACTGCTAAGTCTAGGGCCCACAGCCTATAAACCCTAAATCCCATAATTCCTAGCCCGCAAGGACCCTAGATCCTGTGAACCCTTCACCCAATGATTCCTAAACCCTAAACCCTAAACCCTAAACCCTAAACCCTAAACCCTAATCCCTCAACCCTAGAGCTGGACCCCGAAACCACGACCCCGGAACATTCTTCCAAGTCGCCCCTTGTACTTGCACTTTCCGGACTTCACCTGTAGGTGTTTAGGGTTTAGGGTTTAGGGATTTTCCAGACTTCACTTGCAAGCGTTTTTGTGTTAGCCTTCGGGCTCGTGGAAGAAAGCTTCAAGCTAGCAGGTTGAACGCTCAGGAGGTTATATAGTAGCCACGCTGACCTCGTAGCAAACTTCCGATGCCGATTCAGAAAGCAACTGCAAGAAATCAGAAAGGCCTCAAAGCTTTAGAAGAGGCCCTGGTCGGCTTCAGAGCGAACCTCAAAGCTCTACTTACGGAAGAGACATCAGTGATAGCAATAAGACTCACAATGATAGTAATAATGATAATCATCATCGCAAGAATAATCACCATCATAATTATAGTAGCAGTTCTCATGTAGCCCCTGAACTTGGGTTTAGGGTTTAGGGTGCCTCCCTGGCGGAACCGCAAATTTCGACAGCACTCCCCTGAATCTGGAAATCGAAACGCCGCCCCTAAACCCTAAACCCTACCCCCTAAAACCTAAACCCTAAAACCCTAAACCCTAAGCCCTAAACCATACGAATACTGTAAACAATTAACCCCTTCGACCGCCATAAACACGAAAAGGCCCTCCTCGGCCTCCGTTAGAACACAAACTAAACCCCACCTGCCCTAAAGAACCTACCTTTTTAGGGTTCCTTATTATCCTTACAACGGCTTATTATTTGGGGCCAAGGCAGAAGCTAATGCCGAACGTCCCTAAACCCTAAACCCGAAAGCTCCCAAACACCCCAAGGCCCAAAACCCCTACATCCTAAACCCCCAACCCACAAAAACCCTACGCCCTAATCCCCAAAACCCCCCAATCCCCAACAGCCCTAAACCCCAAACACCCCAAACCTCAAACCCCCCCGAAAGCTCCAGGATCGACTTAGGCCGTGGCTGCGGCCGCCTGGAAGTCAGCGAGAGGCGAGTCAGCAGTGAGGCCTGGACAAGGGCCCTTTTTACGGCTGTTTAGGGTCTACCTTAAGGAACCCAAAACCTACTTTTTTGTAGGGTCCCTATAAATCCCATATTGGGGCTTATCATAAGAACCTACAAAAATAGGGTTGTGGGGTTGAGGGTTTTAGGGTGTAGGGTTGTGGGGTTTAGGGCTTGAGTGGTTTAGGGGTTTAGGGTTTAGGGGTTTCGGCTTTTGTGGTTTAGGGTCTTAGGGCTTCGTGGTTTTAGGGCTTTGTGTTTTCGGGTTTGGAGTTTAGGGCTAGGGTTTTCGGGTTTAGGGTGTAGAGAGAGGATTCAGGGTTTAGGGTATGCTTCTGGGTTGAGTGGATTGAGCTCGAGGCTTAAATCCGACGGAGAGATCGAAAGGAATGGGTTTAGGGTTTAGGAATTCAGTTTCTCTTGCTTTATGTTCCGCGGAATTGCTGAACAGAAATTTCTGAACTCATTTACTGTTGCAAAACAGTGCAGAATGGATGTGCTGATCCTATTGCCTCGTTAGGTCATTGGAAACTACCCCCTGGGGGCCACAGTTCCGTGAGTCAGGCAGAGATGGATCAAGTTTACGGTTCAGGATGTTATGGCTTAGGGCCTGGGCCCTCTAAATCTAGGGTTTAGGGTTTAGGATTTAGGGTTTAGGGTTTAGGGGTTTACAGTTTAGGGGTTTTAGGGTTTAGGGCTTATAGGTTTTAGGGGTTTAGGGGTTTAGGGTTTAGGGCTTATAGGTTTTAGGGTTTAGAGTTTAGGGTTTTGACATGGTTTGGAAGCAGCCGGGCTTTGCCCTCGGAGCTTCGGTGCTCTGTTAGGATGCCTTGGTCTGCCTTTGTGTTTGAGGCGCCGCTGCTTTGAAATACAAACCCATAAGCCCTAAACCCTAAACCTCTGGATCCTAAGCCCTAAAACCCCTAAACCCCTTAAACACTGTACCGGTCGACAGTCGACGATTCTTGGTCCAGGCTCATCAAGTCTTTCGGCCACGGATACCCTAAACCCTAAACCCTCTGGGGTGGTGCAGTCTAAGGGGGTTCTGGGCGCCGCGCCTCAGGTTTGGTGCTTTAGGCTTTCAGGTCGCGTCGCGAACGAGCTGGGGCATCTTATATGGTCGATTTATAATCGACTTTGTAGTGGACAGTTTTACAAATCGTTCCGACCTCTGTATTCACTTTGAAGGATGTAGTGTATTGTTTTGATTGTGTTCGGCGTCAGTATCCGCAAAGCTCTGCAAGCATATGGAGGTGTCAGAGATGAGGGACCCTGGTATGGAAGCCTAATTATTTAACAGGATCCTCAACAACCGTAAGCACACTGGCTGCTAGCTTACTACAAGGCATGTACGGCAACTGTCACTTCCACGTGTACCTATACATAGGTTTGCACTTGGTCACTTGGACCCCATTAAAAAGAAACCAAGTAGTTCAAAATCGAAGGACCCCGGCGCTGCAGCTCTCTACAGATTCAGAGGGATTGGCCTTCATACCAGTCCGGGTGTTCGTGGATGCCGGTGTTCTTGGCCCACATCGCATTGTCCCTGGGTTCCAAAGCTAAGCCCCAAAATCTAACCCCAAATCCCAACTCGTCCCCAAAAGCTAAAGGGCGATGTCTTAGCTGGGGCTTGGGGGCTGCATGGCCCATGACCTGCCCTCGCAAAACCGAAATCCAGAAGGCACAAGCTTTCCACTTTCCGACACTATACCTGAAACCCCAGAAGCGCTGCCAAGCCTGAGAGGGGTTGGGTTGGCTCAGGCTCTCCCGTCTTAATTAGCCCGATCGCCCCTCTCCCTCTCCCTCTGCCTCTCATTTTGTTGCTCTCTCTCGCTCTTTCTTTCTTTCTGCCGGGCTTAGGGGTCGTCTAGCGACCCTCAGAGCATGGGCCCGCCCGACCACCCAATGTATTATGGAGTGGCCGGCATGGGGGTCGTAATGACCGCTGCAAAAGAGGACACAATTTGTCCTGGGTGGATCCTCTCTCTCTCTCGCTCTCTCTCTCTCTCTCTCTCTCTCTCTCGCTCTTTTCTATCTGTTTTCTCTCTCTCTCTCTCTCTTTCTGCCTCCTCTCTCTCTCTCTCTCTTTCCTTATCTGTCTCTCGCTCGCCCTGTCGACCTCGGTGCAACAAGTGTCGGCCATATCCGTCGATGCATTGATCGGTCCATCGATCTATCGATCCAGCGACGCATCTATCCATCTATCGAGTTATCAAAAAAACCACAGCATTCCAATTCTTTGGGATTTAAGTTACACTATAGCTACTTCACCCAAAACCCTGAACTCTCAACAGGAATCAGGCAAGCTTCACACAGGCTTGCTCGTAGACTGGAACGGCAGTTCGGCACTCCACCCGCGGTGGGATGGGCTTGGGCCTCGGGTTTCGGGGGCGTGTTGTTTGAAGGCTTGGGGTTTTGGGCTTTAGGGGTTTAGGGAAATAAGGTTGAGGGTTTTTTGGACTAAGCGGTTTATCCCAAGCCTGGAAAACAACCTCTGTAGAACTCCGATGACATTGAACTGTATCTACCTAGACCCCAAATTGCCTGTTCTTCTTTAAGAAACCCTCATGATGGCGACGCTAAACCATTTTCGGGTGCCTACAGTATACAGAGGATATGCATCTCCAAGGATCCTTGCCATCTTGATGAGGTCTGATCATACACCCTCGTGAAGGCCCTGGACAAGAATCTACTTGTTATGTATATGAAGACAGATTTCAGGGGTATATCTATATATATATATATATGTATGTATACCTGATATGCAGGCGACTGCCTGCAGTATGCCCTGCCGACTTTCCATCAGCCTACATGAACAGTGTTATCAACTAATTCGTAGATAGTTTAGGCGTACGCTCACACATGCATATGCATGCTTGTGCGGGCATTTCCGAAACCCTTCACCTGACTAAGCCTATCAACCCAAAACCTACACAACCAACACCCGGAACGGCCCAAACAGCTGCGCTAAACCCTAAACCCTAAAACCCTCCTGAACCTGAAACCCCAAACCCTAAACCTGAAACCCTAAACCCTAAACCTGAAACCCTAAACCCTAAACTTGAAACCCTAAACCCTAAACCTGAGACCCTAAACCCTAAACCTGAAACCCTAAAGCCTAAACCTGAAACCCAAAGCCCGGCACGCCCCAAACAGCTTTTTCTTGCTCAGCCGAGCAGCGGTGGTGTGGGCTCCACTGTCAGTGCTTGGGCCGCCAGCATTCCCGCCGTCTTGGCGGCAGCGCTGGGCATGCCGGCCGCCTCATAGGGTTTAGGGGTTTAGGGTGTAGGGGTTTAGGGGTTTAGGTTCAGGGGCATAGGGTTTAAGCTTTAGGGTTTTGGGTTGAGGGGTTTAGGGCTTTGGGTTTGAGGCTTTAGGGGTTAAGGTTGTACACAAAGTTATATATATATATATATACATAAACGTATGTATGCATGCATGCATGCATGCATGTGTGTACGTATTTACAGACCTATACAACAACATATGTACATAAATGCCTGTGCACATACATACATGAATACATACATACATACATACATACATACATACATACATACATACATACATACATACATACATACGTAAATACATACATACATACATACGTAAATACATACATACGTTGCATACATACATACATACATACATACATACATACATACATACATACACACGTACGTACATACATACACCTATATATACATATATACATGCATGGACCTGCATATGCGTGTTATATGCACGTGTATAAAGGTATGTGTGTGTATCTACATATGTGTAAATGCGTGAGAATTTACCTTGTTGTATGTGTATGAATGAATGAGTGAATGAATGAATAAATGAATGAATTAATGAATCAACGTATGCATGTATGCATGTAATTATGTATATGTGTGTATGCTTGTATGTGAGTCTGTCAGTATGTATGCGCGCTTGTATGCCTGTATGTCTATATGCCTATCTATCTGACTATCTGCCTGTCTGTCTGTCTGTCTGTCTGTCTGTCTGTCTGTCTGTCTGTCTGTCTGTCTGTCTGTCTGTCTGTCTGTCTGTATGTGTGTGTATATATGTATATATATATATATATGTATATATCTTGTTGCTGGTTGAATAATGAAAACATTTTCATTGTAAACATAGAAATACAGAAACAATCATAGGCAGATCGTTACACATCTATCTAGGCAGAGCTTTATAGATAGCTAGACAGATAGGTAGGCGGATATAAACATGACACGCGATATACACTTGGCAGGTAATAGGTTGATCAGTAAGTAGACAGGTGGGTATGTAGGTAGGCAGGCAGGCAGGCAGGTAGGTAGGCAGGTCACTGTGTAAATGTAGGTGGGTGGGTAGGAAGGCAGGGAGGCAGGTAGGTAGGTAGGTCGGTGGGGTGTAGGTCGAGGCAAGGAAGGTACTAGTGGCAGGTGGGTAGGTAGGTAGGCAGACAGGAAGGTGGCCGGGTAGGCAGGTGGGTAGGTGTAGGTGGGTCCGTAGGCAGGCAGGCAGGCAGGTAGGTCGGTAGGTAGGCAGGCAAGTAGGTGGGTAGGCGGATACCTCCTTGGCTACCTGGCCCGCAAACTCATCCGTCACAACATTCCTGCCTGCCTACCTATATCTTCTTACCTAGCCGACCTAGCTACCTAGCTACCTAACCAGCGAGCGAGCCAGCTATCTGGGTATCAGCGACTCCAACTTCCTGTCCTGGAGCCAGCCAGCGATCCAGTCATCCACCTACCCACCTACCCATCTACCTACACAATAGAGCCCCGATTTCACAAACACAACGCCTGGGCCGTGAGAGGTTTGTGGGTTTTTGGACCCTGACTCTGAGGTTTCTGCAACCAGTGCAGTGGGGAACAACATCGGGCCTACAATATAGAAAGCGCTTCTCATGAATCTGTAGCGCAGGGTGCAGGGAGCACCGCACTGAACATTACAGCGTCGAAGCAAACCTCCGTAAACACAGATCGAACCGAACCGAAATTGCTCGACTCATGGCTATTGAAATAAATCCTCGCCGACTGAGCCCTAATATGGGCCCATTATATGATAATTATAATAAGGAGCCCCCAAAATATTGTTGGCAATTGTTTAGGCCCCTATATTTGGGGCCTGAAGAATCAGAATGTGGCTCAGAATAGGGCTCAGGAGAGAAGTCCTGATTCCCAGAGCCGCAACCAAACGGCAACGCTTGGTCTCAGTCTCTCACCATTCGCTAAAGCATTGGGCAACGATATTTTGAACATAAATCCGGCTTCCTGCTATTCTAAGCCCAGGTGGAATTCCACGGTTGGATCTAGGCGTTGGAGCTTTCCACTACCGAGGCCAAGCTGAGCCTTTCATTGCATCTTTACTAAACCAAAGGGTCCAAAGTACCGATATGGTAGAATGTAGGGTTTCTATATTAGGAATTACTATGATGATTTAGGGAAGTATCCTTCATTAGGTAAACCCTAAACTCTGCACTACTGGCAGAGTCTGGGTCACCGGACCAACCCGGCGGACTTGGCAGCAATGGACGCCAGGCGGGCCGCGTCCTGCAAACTAGAACAGGATGCCGATTCCAGTGGAGATGGTAAGGGTTTGGAATAACAAGGCCGCGATTCAGGGCCTGTCCGAACTTGCGGGGTATGGGGCTCTGTGATATGCTTGCTGGCATGCGACAAAGCTGCAAGCAGCCTCTGTGTTGAAGCAACCTCTGTTCTTCTCGAGGCCATCAGAGAATGCTGCATTTTTGACGTTGGGCTTCAGGGTTGAAGGCTGGCAACGTTGAAACACCAAGGTACGCGTCTTCAAAGGCGCTGTACCAGTCCCTAAGTACAGTAGACGTCTGTCACAAGACTCCGAGTGTGGGTTCAGGGTTTTGCCGGGTAGGATAGTGAATCTAGACGAAAGCCAGGCATAGAGACACCCCTAAAACCTAAGCCCTAAACCCCAAACCCTAAACATTCGTATTTGGGGCAGATTCCGGTTCCTCGTGAATGACAAGCAGCAGATCTCGGTACGGTTCTCGACACCAGCTGGTCTGGTTTAGGGTTTAGGGTTTAGGGTTTAGGGTTTAGGGTTTAGGGTTTAGGGTTTAGGGAGGCTAACCAGCCTTGGGGGTTGAGGGAGGCTGCCCTTCCCGGCCTCCTTGCTCCAGTCGCGGTCCCTGGCCTCACGGGCAGACGCAACATTGGTTTAGGGTTTAGGGTTTAGGGTTTAGGGTTTAGGGTTTAGGGTTCATCGCAGATGCCAGTGGGCCTCTGATGAATAAAACTCGGCCTCAAACAAGAAGGAAGATCCAATCAAAGGGAGTCGAACACCAAGGGTTTACATGTGCCCCGAATCCCTCAATCTTACCAAAAACCGTCTAGAGTTTGCGACCATGAAACTGTCGAGGCCCAAAACATTAAAAAAAAAACAAGCTATCCCAAGCAGCGAGGGAAGACTCCGAACAATCGGGCAGATGCACCCTAAACCCTAAACCTAGAAACCCTAAACCCTCAACCAAAACCCTAAACCCTAAACCCCTAAACCCTAAAGAGCAAGGACCTTTAAACTTCGGCTCGGGGCCCCTAGATGCCAAACTGTCCCGGAAGCAGCCCCTAAAGAGACCCCAAATGCGCTAAACCCAAAGCAAAACCCCACAACCCTAAATGCTACAACCCCAGAGCCGTAAACTGCCAAGCCCTGCCGAGCCATATGAGGCTGTAAGCCTCATGTCTGACTCCGAAACCCTCTAAGCCTAAATATAACACAATGCAACATAGTAGAATATAATTCAACCTAGATTTACAGATTACTAAACAATATAATGTAATGTAATACTGTAAAATAAATATATATATATATATATATATATATATATCGGTAGACAAAGCAAGACTTCGCACAAAGGCACTGGGCCTCTTTGGCCGCCACACTACCTGCCTTGGCTGCCTGGTCGGCGGCCGCGTCGCCTGCCTGGAAGGAAAGGCCCTTGACCAGAGATATTGAGGGTTTAGGGTTTAGGGTTTAGGGTTTAAATGTAGGGATTTAAGGCTTTGCTGTGCTTGAAGGTTTTGGGATTGGGGCTTGGGGAAAGTTACGGAGCTCGGGGGCAAGGGTTTACAGTTTTTGACCATATCAGGTAGAAACATTAAAAAAAACAAAACAAACGAATGCGGTGTGTGCTTGTGTCGGGCTTCTTCTGCATACCCGCCCTTGGTGCACCTGAATTATGGCTGGCCTCCTCTAAGGATGCAAGACAGACACAAAAACCGAAGTAGGAATCGATGGGGGCTGAGGTGAGGTTCAGCCTGGACTCTGCGGAATGCGTGCTTCTGACCGTAGCCACTGGTTCCTTACGCAGGTCGGATGATAAAACCTCGGTAGGCTCTGCAGGGCCCTATAGTAATGGTAGAGGTTGAAACCTTGCCAGACTTGAGGAATAGAGGAGGCTGGATGATGCGACAGAGAATGATAAGCAGCAGGTATTTCTTGGGCGGCCCTGAACCAACAAATCTCGAGAGTCCCAAGTCCTGAGCCCCCAAAGCAACAAACCCAAGATCTACAATTTTGTACCCCGAGCCTTCACCAATGCAGATCACACAACTGAAACAAGGTGCGAAGGGTTCAGGATTTAGGATTTAGGGCTTATGAAGCCTAAATCCTGAACCCTAAACCCTAAACGGCTTAGCGTCTAAATCCTGACCCTGAACCCTAAACGGCTTACCTATAGTCTCCATTGTAGTTCCTTTTTCTTTGGTTTAACCATTTCTATATTAAGGATCCTAAAGGGTAACCTCAAAAAGGAACTACAATGGAGACCGCAGGTAGGGCCTAAATCCTGAAGCCTGAACGCCAAACCAGGCTTTTTGGGGGGTTTAGGGTTTAGGGTTTAGGGTTTAGTAAGGGTTTAGGGTTTAGGGTTTAGGGTTTAGGGTTTAGTAAGGGTTTAGGGTTTAGGGTTTACCCACAGGGGGGGTTTCAGGGTATTGCGTCCCAGGTCCTCCTCGCTCTCTTTTGCTGCCTCCAAGCCTCGGTAGGAAGGTCATCAAGGGAAAAATGTGGTACATTTAGGGTTTAGGGTTGAGGGCTTAGGGTTTAGGGGCCTTAAGAATCAGAATAGGGGTTTGGGGTATCTCATACTATAATTATAGCATGGAGCCCCCAAGATAGTATTGGTAATCATTCAAGCCCCTATACTAGGGGCCTGAAGAATCAGAATGTGGCTCAGAATAGGGACCAAACGGCAATGCTTGGTCTCAGCCTCTCGCCATTCGCTAAAGCATTGGGCAACTATATTTTGAACAGAATTCCAGATTCCTATTTCTTCAAGCCCAAGTGGAATTCGACGGTTGGATCTAGGCGTTGGAGCTTTCCACTACCGAGGCCAACTGAGCCTTTCATTGCATCTTTACTACCCATGAGTTCCAGAGGAGGCCCCGTCGAAAAGCTCTGCTTCATCGAATTCGAACATTCTTCCTCGTGCAGTATCCCCTACGTATAATGAGTCATGAGGCCACTTACATACCGGCCACGAGGCACTTCTTTCATTCAAGACCCTAAACCCTAAACCCTAAACCCCCACAACACCCTGTGCGTCCACTGAGAGTCCGGCCAAGGTCGACGATCTGGTGCAGGGGCTTAAGGTTTGCTTATAGGGTTTAGGGTTTATAATGGTTTATGGTTTCGGGCTTATAATGTGCAGGGGTTTAGGGTTTAGGGCTTAGAGGGTTTAGGGTTTGTAATGGTTTATATGGTTTATATTGGCTTAGGGCTTATAGGGTTTAGGGGTTATAATGGTTTATCTGGCTTAGGGCTTATAGGGTTTAGTCGGCTTCAGAGTTTAGGCTTGGAATTTCGGGTCTCGGTTCTGGCCAGCTTCGCTTTTTGCAAGACGTACCGGCAGGACTGCTAGTGACTGCGTTTAGCCGGAACCCCCGTACTCGGACATTTCTCGAAACCCTCCCACGTAGTCGGCTGCCGATCCTGTAACTCATGTCGTGCTTGCCGCATGCTTCCAAAAAAGACTCGGCGTTGGATACGCTTTGGAGGCTTTCGTCATGCTTGTATAGGTTAGGGGTCAGGTGCCCGTGGTTCTTCTACATCAGCCAGTATGCCTGGATATCCCTAAAGGCTTTGCAACCCCTGCAACGCGGGTGTCTTGGGCTGGTCCCGCTAAGCCGTCATCAGCAAAACATCTCCCAGACGACTCAACCCCGAAACCCCATAGAACTCGTACAAATCCAGTTGTGTGGCAAGATTTTTGTGTCGCGGCTCAAGCATTGCTTTCAATTGTGCATAAAAAACTCCAGAAGTTGCAAGATGCGGAGGTTTCTGGGCTCCGCGTGGCTTAGATCCCACGCGATCTCTCAGGCATCTTGGCTTTCAGCTCCGAGCTGAAGGCTTAAGAGATTGATCAGTTTGGAAGTCTAGAAGGTTTCCTATGTCTCCATTGTATTTCTTTTTTAACCATTTCTATATTAAGGATCCTAGAAGGTAACCCCCAAAAAAGGAACTACAATGGAGACTACAGGTTTGTTGCATGGGACTGAGTTGACCGGGATTAGATGGACGATGGCTTCAATTTGCTCAAGATGCGAGCATGGGCATAGACACGTGCGGCTCAAGCGAATGACTGTTGCGCGAGAAGCCCTCCAGGCCCTTTACCGTAAACCCCAAACCCTAAATCCTAAACCCTCTAGGGTTTTGGGCTAGGGGATTAGCCCGGACCCAAGCGATTCGTGGCACCTGTGGTCCCAAATGAAACAACACCTTCGCAACCGAAATCCTTAAACCCGAACACCGCACACGCTAACCCTAAACCCAAACCACAAGTACTTCTTGATGGAGTCACTTAGTCAATGTAGCCCTTCATCGCAAAAGCTCGCGTAGTTGTGAGGGTCTCATGTAGAAACAGACTGTCTAGAAGCTGAAGCCCCTAAAGTCCAAAGCCTTGAACCACAAACCCTGAATTGAGCCTAGACCCCGTACTAACAAAACCTAGAGCCCTCAGACACTAAGCCCAAAACCCCTGAAGCCAAGCTCTCGGGCCCAGCGTGCCTCCTGCTCGTCTGGCGCGAGCTCTGGCTCCGCGTCTTCTGCCTCACGACCTGGCAACCCTAAACCCGAAACCCTAAACCTGGCTCATGGCCCTTAAGAACTACAAGCAGATTCCCAAACCTCTGTCAGTGTTCTTGCTTTACCTTGAACTACCGAAATCTACTTGTTGCAGTGTACCTATACATCCTGCGTTATGGCTTATGAGACTAAGGAGAACCTGCCCCCAAAAAAAGGTAGGCTATGGTAGTTCAACGGTCGGCTTTTACGGCTTGCCGTAAGGACGAAAAGAGCCCTCGAAGGCTGTAGGGTTCATATACCATATAGGGATTCATAGTATAAGGGTGTAGGGCTCCTACTTTTAAGGTTCTTTTCGTCCTTAAGGTATGCAGAGGTTAGGCCATGCTCCGGCTATCTGGCTTGGCTTAGGGCTTAGGGGTTCTGGGGTTTGGGGTTTAGGGTGCATGGGGTTTTTAGGGTTTATAAGGATTTATGGGGTTTAGGGTTTAGGGGGGTTGGGGTTTAGGGTGT